ATCCACCCTTTATGCCTGTAGGTATCAGATTGATTGGGTTTTTTCAGTTACCTGAAATAGACATATAGTTATACTACCAGAATGTGCTTCAGCAAAACATTATTCAGTAGAGTTAAGTACTCCATGTATTTTTTCTTAAAGCAAGGCTGTAATGCAAGAAGATAAGTATGTTTTCATACATGTTAAAACTGTGCTTTGAAAAGGTTTGTTATCACAATATGTTACTGCACATACTACAAAAATTACTGCATTTCTCCAAACATAATTAAAATGGTCAAAGCGTGTTACACATGAAAGGCAGGTGCAGATCCCTCGGGGACAAGGCACAGCGCTCAGCAAGTGAACGCTTTGGCTCTATGCGAAGCGTAGTGTTACCATGGTGGGATCCCCAGGCCACCAGTGCTGCTCAGATGGGGACTGGACGCAGTGGAGCCCAGCTTAGGAGTGCGGCTCAAGGGAAGGCACCGCAGGGGTGGGCAATAAGACGTGCCCTGATTAACATCTCATGCATATGCACTGTCCTGTTTTGCTCATTAGCGAACTCACTGATGTAATGCAGATGCTGCTGTCTTAGTTCTGAGATCCACAGCCGGCCGTCACGTTGAAGCCATGCAGGGCTATGTGCAGACAGGGTGGGGAGAGTGAACTACCCCAGCTAACTGTAACAAGAAGATCAAACGCGCATGGGACTCTACATACTGGGATGGAGGAGGTGAACTGTCCTAGGTTACCGTAACAAAGTCTTCTCAAATCCTACAAACAGAATTCTAATTTCTTTAATGTAAACAAATATCTTCATTATCTGAAAAGAATATCATTGCTACTTTTAGCCTCCTGACAGAGTCCTCTGTCCTTTTTCACAGAGAGACAAATTTCTGTTCCCAGTTTCCTGGGAGTAATTGTTTAAAACAGACAGTTTATTTAATAGCAGGAAAAAAATCCTATAAAGTTATTGTTGTAGTTTAAAGATGGAAGATGTTCAGTGATGTGCAGTGGAACACGGGCATCTGTATTTTGGACACATCATACATTTTCTCATGCAGCTGAAGATGTGAAGATTAAGTGGTGGCTCAGTTCTCCATAAAATACAGCATGAGATCAGTATTCCTTTGTTATTTAAAACTGTTCCTGCAATAGAACATGCAAAAGAGAAAAACATCTGCAAACCTTCAGGACAAGCCAAATATCTATGGGTGTATAGAATAGACTTGTCAACTTGTCTTTGTAGGAAGTCTAATTTGACCATCACTGTGTGTCATAAACCAGCAGGGATGCATTAATGGTATTCTAAATGCTGTGTTGTAGGAAATTAAGCTGGAGAAATCATCTTTGTCTTGGTAGTTGTCAAAGCTGATTTTTCTCTTAGATTAAATTATCTTTTTTAATAGAAAAAATGGAATAATAGGATTGTTACCAGACTTTGAGCTGAGTTTTTTATCTCATTGATCTAAAATTTAAAATATGTTTTGCACCAATTTCTCTCATTGCTACAAAAGACATCACTTCTTCCGTTCTTCAGCACAAAAAAGAACAACAGGTTACATCAACTGATAGAGTGGTTGTTCCGTTACTGGTGAAATCATGATGAGATTTGGTTCTGTGTTGTGCTGGACTTGGCAGCTCTGAATCAACGTGTGAGCTAATTAGTGCTTCCACACAAACAGAAATGTAAGTCTCACACCGAGTACTGATACCATGAGGTGTCAATGTACCAGTTTCTGGTGGGTGAAGGCTGAATGCACATAGCCTCGCACTTACAGCAGCTCACAGATGGCATTTTGAACATCTAAGTGTGGGAAGCATGAAATCAGCACTAACGTAAAATGATCTGCAAGGTGGTGCTTTCTGAGAGATAAATTGTGTACTCTCAGCCTGTTCCAGTAATAAAATGTGTTTTTGTAAGTAGGAAGGACTAGTGACACCATGGGTCCAGACACAACAGAGCTTACTGCACATACTACAAAAATTACTGCATTTCTCCAAACATAATTAAAATGGTCAAAGCGTGTTACACATGAAAGGCAGGTGCAGATCCCTCGGGGACAAGGCACAGCGCTCAGCAAGTGAACGCTTTGGCTCTATGCGAAGCGTAGTGTTACCATGGTGGGATCCCCAGGCCACCAGTGCTGCTCAGATGGGGACTGGACGCAGTGGAGCCCAGCTTAGGAGTGCGGCTCAAGGGAAGGCACCGCAGGGGTGGGCAATAAGACGTGCCCTGATTAACATCTCATGCATATGCACTGTCCTGTTTTGCTCATTAGCGAACTCACTGATGTAATGCAGATGCTGCTGTCTTAGTTCTGAGATCCACAGCCGGCCGTCACGTTGAAGCCATGCAGGGCTATGTGCAGACAGGGTGGGGAGAGTGAACTACCCCAGCTAACTGTAACAAGAAGATCAAACGCGCATGGGACTCTACATACTGGGATGGAGGAGGTGAACTGTCCTAGGTTACCGTAACAAAGTCTTCTCAAATCCTACAAACAGAATTCTAATTTCTTTAATGTAAACAAATATCTTCATTATCTGAAAAGAATATCATTGCTACTTTTAGCCTCCTGACAGAGTCCTCTGTCCTTTTTCACAGAGAGACAAATTTCTGTTCCCAGTTTCCTGGGAGTAATTGTTTAAAACAGACAGTTTATTTAATAGCAGGAAAAAAATCCTATAAAGTTATTGTTGTAGTTTAAAGATGGAAGATGTTCAGTGATGTGCAGTGGAACACGGGCATCTGTATTTTGGACACATCATACATTTTCTCATGCAGCTGAAGATGTGAAGATTAAGTGGTGGCTCAGTTCTCCATAAAATACAGCATGAGATCAGTATTCCTTTGTTATTTAAAACTGTTCCTGCAATAGAACATGCAAAAGAGAAAAACATCTGCAAACCTTCAGGACAAGCCAAATATCTATGGGTGTATAGAATAGACTTGTCAACTTGTCTTTGTAGGAAGTCTAATTTGACCATCACTGTGTGTCATAAACCAGCAGGGATGCATTAATGGTATTCTAAATGCTGTGTTGTAGGAAATTAAGCTGGAGAAATCATCTTTGTCTTGGTAGTTGTCAAAGCTGATTTTTCTCTTAGATTAAATTATCTTTTTTAATAGAAAAAATGGAATAATAGGATTGTTACCAGACTTTGAGCTGAGTTTTTTATCTCATTGATCTAAAATTTAAAATATGTTTTGCACCAATTTCTCTCATTGCTACAAAAGACATCACTTCTTCCGTTCTTCAGCACAAAAAAGAACAACAGGTTACATCAACTGATAGAGTGGTTGTTCCGTTACTGGTGAAATCATGATGAGATTTGGTTCTGTGTTGTGCTGGACTTGGCAGCTCTGAATCAACGTGTGAGCTAATTAGTGCTTCCACACAAACAGAAATGTAAGTCTCACACCGAGTACTGATACCATGAGGTGTCAATGTACCAGTTTCTGGTGGGTGAAGGCTGAATGCACATAGCCTCGCACTTACAGCAGCTCACAGATGGCATTTTGAACATCTAAGTGTGGGAAGCATGAAATCAGCACTAACGTAAAATGATCTGCAAGGTGGTGCTTTCTGAGAGATAAATTGTGTACTCTCAGCCTGTTCCAGTAATAAAATGTGTTTTTGTAAGTAGGAAGGACTAGTGACACCATGGGTCCAGACACAACAGAGCTCCTTGTAGAAGTAGTATTGCTTGTATTTGGCTTTGCCATTTCTTTTTCCATGAGTTGAATATTTGTGAGAGTTCTTGTCTGAAGCTGATGTGTCATATACTCCTCAGTCTTATATGGCTATAATATTTCTGTATGAAATGGCCTCACAGCTATATGTAGTACTCAAAACCAAGTGCCCAAATCACACGTAGTACCATAGGATTGCCAGTGCAGACACCCACAGTTGAATCCCATGCACTGTGAACCAAGTTCAGAAGGACCCTTTTGAGAAGTAATAGTTGGTATTGGAAATCATGGATTTGTTGACATGTGGTGGAATTTCACAAAACATGTGACATTGGCAAACTTTAT